TAAATATATTTTTATTGATTTCAGAGAGGAAAGAAGAGGAGAAAGATAGAAACATCAATGATGAGAGAAATTTTATTTTTTGCATGTTTCTGTTCAATTTGCCCAACACCATTTATTGAATAGATTAAGTATACACCGTTGTATGTTCTTGCCTACTTTCTTATATGATTGAACACAGAAGTGTAGGTTTATTTCTGGGCTATCTATTCTGTTACATTGATCTTTGTGTCAGTTTTTATACCAGTCCTTTGCTGTTTTGTTCATTTGTTTGTTTAAACACAAATAAACACAGTATTGTTAAGGGAGAAAATAATACAGTAGCATCTTGGATTAGAAGGGATCTGGATAACTATCCAGTTCAATGCAGATATGGAACAGTGTTGAACCCCTGCTTTTTCCTACATTCATATTTAAATTCTCACATCAGTATATAAAATTCTTTTATTTTAAATGATGGGATCTGGGTGGTCCTGGAAACACGCAGTATTTGTTTACTTGTTTTCTTACTCATAAAATTAATAATTGTTCATCTTAGAAATTTGGTGTATAGATATAAAGAAAAAGTCTTAGTTTTCTTTAATTCTAATATCTTACAAGTTACCATAGTGTATACATTGTTGTACCCTTCTTTTTTACAAAAAGCTATAAAAAATTATTTGCCCTTTCCTTAACTGGAAGCTTCTTCATTTTAATGTCTGGCTACATTTAAATGGGAAAGTCCATCATGTGATTGTCACTCTTCTTTTTGATCCCAGCCAGCACACCCTTATAAAGGACACAGTTGTGTACAACCAGCCTCTGCTCCAGCTGCCATCTGCCAGTGTCCAGCCAAGCATTCAATGCAGGCTGTCCTCACTTTGCACAGCACTGTGGTAACTGAGACCCATACAAAGCAAGGAGACACTTCCAGTCTTCCCAAGCTTCCTTAGCATGGTACCTTGCCAAAGAGGGCTGCCTAAATTTAATGCATCCCTGCCTTGCTTTTTCTCATTTATAACACAAACATTACAATGAAAATCTTCTCCAGGGGCTTTATTATGCCTTCTGCACATGCTTAAAATTGGAATAGCTGAGTGAAAGTGTACAGATACTTTTTAAGACTCCTTACCACACAATGTTAAATTGATTTCCAGAGAAGCTGTAATTGTTTTCCCTGATACCCTTAATGGAAAAAGTGCCAGTCTTCCTGAACTCTCTTGAAAATAAATACACAAAAAGGGTATCTTATTTCATATTTTTATTACTAGTCTCTTGTCTAATTAATTTTAGCATTTTTGTATTTGTATCCATTTTCTAAACATAACCTTTGACATTTACTTATATCACAGTGACATAAATAATTTGATTGGTTTCTTTGATTAGGAGTAATACTTTCCAAAATATATGCCTCTTAATTTTAAGGAGTTTTATGATTAAATTTGAGTGACTCTTTAACTAAAGTTTTCCACTGCAACTAATCTCAAAAATATGTGCTGTTGGTTATTTAAGAATTTAATATTTATCTTAATGCAGATCAACATAAATTTTATTTAGTGTTTCTCAACTCACAGCTAAGCAGTATGTGTGGATATGTCAATTCTTTGGAGGGACAGTTGCTAACAAAGGGCAATCTAGTTAGGTATAAGATTCTGTGTTTAGATATCTTGGTTGAAAAATAATGTTGCATTATGGACACTAGAATGGTGCAAAAATAAATGTTTGTGTAAAAGTGTTAATCAATACACAATATTAAGGTGCCAAGGATACATGTTGTTCTCATTAGTTATGTCACAAGCACTTATCTGCTTTTCTAGCAAAAATAAATTTAAAAAATTACCTGTAAACTTTCATTCTTAGGCAGATCTCATTATGGCCTTCATTCCATACATATATCCATCAAATCTGGGGACCAAGTTATAATAATACTACTAAAATTAAAATATTTTAATATATTTTCCAAATAATTTACAATGGGTATTATTGTGTATGCTAGAGGCCCAGTGCATGAAATTTGTACATGGAAGGGGGATCCCCTCAGCTCAGCCTGCACCCTCTACAATCCAGGATCCCTCAGGGGATGCCCAACTGCTGGTTAAACTGGCAGTATCAGACATCCCTCTCACAATTTTGGACTGCTGGCTCCTAACTGCTCACTTGCCTACCAGCCTGATCACCCCTAACTTGCCCCCCACATCCTATAAGTCTGGTTGCCCCTAACTGCTCCCCTTGCCAGTTTGGTCACTCCTCACTGCCCCTCCTGCCAGCCTGATGGACTCTAACTTCCCCTTGCCCCCGACTGACCTGGTCATCCCTCGCTGACCCCCCTGCCAGGTTGGTTGCCCACTACTGCCCCTTCCTCGCTGGCCTGGTCATGGTCACTGCCTATATAGATATAGATATAGATATAGATATAGATATAGATATAGATAGATAGATAGATAGCCATATTTGATTTTCATGTATATATGTTCATATACTTCCAAGATGAAACCCTCATATACATAACTTCTGGGTTAAAAAATATTAAATACTTAGAAGCATAAAATTTGCATTCTCTAAGATAAATTTAAAAGAAAAAATAATGAAGATGGAATTTCTCTAATAGGAGTTAGCACATCTTAAGTCTACATTATTTGCAATAATTTGGCTTAAAACACATATATAGAAAAATCAAATGAATAGAAGAGGTAGGCCAGAAATAGATTTATTTAGTGTACAATGAAGATAACATATCAGTGGGTAAACAAAGGGTTGCTTAATAAATAATAGAAAGAAATGGGTTAAAACGTAACTAAAAAATTTACGAACATTATAAAATACAAGATTGTATCCAGAGTAATTTAAGATAATCCTGTAAAATATTGTCCTAAAAAATTAGTAACATGATATAGATACTTGTTTAATTAAATTGAGGATTGAGAAAATTACAAATCAAAAAATAATTGATAAAGATTTTCTAAATAAAACTGTAAATATTTTATATGAGGAGTTATCAGAAATAATATGAAAGGCACTCATCAAACTAATTATTTTCTTTATTTGTCAAATATACATTTCAAAAATTCTCCTGTCAAAATAAAATAGAATTTCTTCCTAAGAATTTCAGTTGAGACAACAAAGAAGCAAATAACCTTAAATGATGATACAGTTAAATGATTATTATCTATTACAAGTCATATGTATAAGCTGTTAAAAACTTTATGGAAGAAATTTTACCCATAGAAAAATTTAGCAAGAGCTTTGAAAATGTACAAAACATTTAATTAAGCAATTACACTTCTAGGAATCTATTCTAAAGGAACTATCAAAGAAATATGTACATAGATACTAAATAGTCTTAAAAATAATAGGATATATCAACATGTTGAAATAATACTTTGCAAGATAAATCAAATAGAAAAATACACCATAATATTAAAGAGTTCTCTTTAAGTAGGAAATTGTAAGTAAATTTTTCTTTCATGTCTTATATCTTTTGATATTTTTCACTTTGTTTTTTTTACCATCAATATGTATTATTTTTATAACTAAGATCAATATGAATTAACTATTAAGAATTATACTACATTAAAAATGGTGTCTATCAAAATATTTAGTCTGTATGAAGTACAAACAATATATTATCAAGTGAAAATCAATGTCCATACTTGTATATGGTAAATTATTTCAATTTTATTTTATTAATATTGAGAAGGAATACACAAAAAGCAAACAAATTATCTGCTGATAAATATTGCTTTTTTTCTGTCTGTATTTCCAAGTTATCTATAACAAACCTGTGTGCTTTTACAATTTAGACAATATATTCATAAAATACAGTCTAAATGTGTCTCCCATATAGCAAAATTGCCTTCTTTACATGAAACAGAAACACAATTCTACTTATATTGCACGCAAGTTACCACATTTACCTGAAATAACAGAGGGAATTTACATTAGGGTATAGCAATGACATTGTCAGTTTACTGTCCCCAACATGCCATCCAGCATTTGCAGTGTGTTGAGGAGTTTAACCACTGCACTGTGAGTTGGAAAAAGAAAGAATGGGAAATTAGTGGGTTTATCTGTGGAAGTGACTTTGGGTTGGCCATTTATTCTTTCTGTGCATAAGACTCCAAATGCTATAAAATGAAGATAATTTCCTACTAGCTCATTTGTGAAAATTAAAAGGTAGTGATATAAAAGTTAGCATTAAACTAAAATAGAGTATCACATATTATGCTTGTTAATTTATGCTCTATTTATCTCTAATGAAATTTTGAGGTAGCATTCAATAAAAGATTTAGACAATGGGAAAAGTTCATTGCAGTGTTACAATAGCCAAGATTTAAAAGCAGCCCACGTGTCCATCAATAGGTGAGTGGATAAAAATGCTGTGATACATTTATACAATGCAGTACTACTCAACTCAAATGTAAAAAAAAAAAAAAAGGAAATCTTACCCTTTCTGACAACATGGATGGACCTGGAGAGCATTATGTTAAGTGAAATAAGCCACGCAGAGAAAGACAAGTACCATCTTATTTCACTCATGTGTGGAATCTAATTAACAAAGTAAGATAACAAGCAGAATAGAGACAGACTCATAGATAGAGAGCAGGCTGGCAGTTGTTGAGGTGCAGGGGTGGTGGTGGAGGGATTGAGTGCAAAAGAGAGAAAGAACTCATGGACATAGGACAAAAGTGTGGTGATTGCCAGAGTGAAGTGGAGGTGGAGGTATGTATAGAAAAGGGTATAGAGGGGATAAAATGGTGACTGAAGGAGACTTGACTTTGGATGGTGAATACACAATATAATATTTGTATATACAATTGTATAATACATTTTATTAGTGTATAGCAATAACCTCAAAACCTATATTAATTATATCAACCAATGTTACCCTAATAAATTCAATGGAAAAAAATTTTTAAAAAAAAATTGGAACCAGGAAATCTATTACATTTAGAATCCCTCTCAATCATTTCTAGGCTCTAATAATTATTTATCACAGACGCTGGTAATTTGAAATTAACTGATGCCTAAATTTCATTTTTATGGAAGAGATTTTCTCTAGTCATTTGCTTTATGGCATGGATCACATCTTTATTCCTTAGACTGTAGATCAATGGGTTCAGCATTGGACTCAAAAAAGTATAAAAGACTGCAATTATTTTGGACTCCTCTACAGACCTTTCCGATGGAGTCCTTACGTACATGCAGAAAAGGGTTCCATAAAATATAGTGACTGTTGTCAGGTGGGAAGCACAAGTAGAGAAGGCTTTATGCCTGCCTTCGGCAGAATGGATCTTCAGGATGGCTGTAAGAATGAAGAGGTAGGAAAGAAGAATGATGAAGAGAGAGCTGGAGAGAGTAAACCCAGCAACTATCAGCATTGCCATTGTTTTGACGTAGGTGTCAGAGCAGGCCAACATTATAAGAGGAGGATCTGCACAGTAGAAATGATTGATCTCAAGAGAGCTGCAGAAGGACAAGTGAAAAGTCAGCAGTGTCTGAGAAAGTCCATTAAGAAAACCAAAAGCATAAGGGACCATGACTAGAGAGATACAAATGTCCTTGGACATTCTGGTACTGTAATGTAAAGGGCTGCAAATGGCTACATAGCGATCCAATGCCATGGAAGCCAGGATGTAAAACTCAGTGATCACCAGAGAGATGAAGAGAAAACACTGTGAGAAGCATCCAGCATAGGAGATGGTCTTCTGGTCTGAGAGGAAATTGTACAGCATATTTGGAGTAATGTTGGAGGAATAGCAAATGTCTACAAAGGAGAGGTGGCTAAGGAAGAAATACATGGGAGTTTGAAGGTGGGAATTGGCCCTGATCAGCACGATCATGCTCATATTCCCTGCCAGAGTGATTAGATATATCATCAGAAACACCCCAAACAGGATCTTCTCTAGTACTGGGTCAACTGTGAGTCCTAAGAGAATGAATTCTGTCACTAGAGTGTGGTTTTGGGAAGACATTTTCTTAAGCTTTGAAAAACTGAAATTGACAAAAAAAAAAAAAAAAAAGAAGTGAAAAATTTTGTCTGATCAAGATTCGGCATTTATCTCATCCATTTTATTATTTATCCCAGCCATTTTATCACTTACCCTTTGATCTCTTTGATTGATTTATCTAATAGGATCTTACTCTTTTCTTTTCAATAACACATCAGAATTTCTACACAAATATTTTTCTTGGTGTCTCTGTGTTTTCTGTCTCTTTCTCTCTGTAACTCAAAATGTTTTCTTTTTATTGCAGACGAGCATGCACACATTTATACCTCTGTTCTTGAAAAGGTCCATGTTTAGTATTGTTTTTCTAATTTGGGGGGAGAAAAGGCACAGGAATTAAAAACTGATAGAAAAAAGCAGCAAGTCATAGGCATCATTCAATGGAAAAATGAATGAAGTTAGATTTCTAGGGTTCCTTCAAAGTGATGTCCTGTTTTTCAGATATAATATAGAAAATAAATCTTTAGCACATCATTTTCCATTGTCATCCCTAGTTGTTTGACTTAATTTTCTTCAGGAAACGTTGAATTAGTAAATCTATTTCTTAATATGCAGGTTGTGGCAAAAGTGGGTTACAGATGTGAGTATTAAAAGCATAGAGTTTATTCTTGTATTACTCTTTGTTAATTGTATTACTTTCCAACTGAGCAACTGTAAATCTACTTTTGCCACACCCTGTATAGCTAAAAGGATACAGAATGAAGAATTGTTCTCTCTGCTTTGTGAAATCACCCATTTATTCATGTACATTACAAAGATTAATTTTTTTTCTGGTTAAGGATCTGGGGTTACAGCAGTGACCAAATTCCCCATCCTCATGTAGCATATATTGTAGGAAAAGGTACAACACATAAAGAAAAATATGTAAATAATGTCAGAAGCAAGTACTAGGAAGAAAAATAAAGATGGGATGCTTTTAGATGGCTATTCTGAGAAGATAAAAATGTGAACAGAGTGCAAATATCTGGAGAAGAATGAGGAATATTCCCAGTTTCTGCACAAATAACACACATGTGAAAATATTTGTCTAGGAAAGCTCAGCTAACAGAGTTTCACTTACTCCTGAAACCACTATCAATTCTTTGTAAAAATAAGATATGACTAGAAAAAAAATGTGCTTTAAGAATTGCAGCATACAGTTATTTTATTTAGCTTTTACATACACATCAAAAGACCTTGCATATAATAATGGAATTTTAGACACGTTATGAAATATTATATCAATTAAAAAAAACAAGTATAATTGTTGAAAATAGTTTTCTATTTTAGTGAGGTACTGATTTCCACACTGAAAAGGAAACATATTTTTAGTGAATAAACATGGAAAATGACCTACCTCTAAAAGTTGATTTATCATTTTTATAAAAACAAGATGAGAAGATTTATAATATATTTCTTGGGTATTTATATTCCCTAGAGTATTTATAAAATAATTAGAAAGAACCAATTAAAGTCATCATTTTTTTTCTCAAGGGCACAACCTTAATTTGGGGCTTTGAGATTCTAATTTCTCTTCTGAGGCCAAAGTCTCTAAATCTATGTACATTGCTTGGGACTGAGTGCATGGAAATATTTAGCACAAATAGAATAATTAGCGGTCGGGTAAAACTATGAAAGGAGGAAAATGTGCGTAGATAAGTTTTGTACTTTTTAAAATCCTTATTGTTGAAAGTATTCCATAAATTCCCCTTATCCCCCATTGACCTCTTCAAGCCCACCACCACCATCTTGAGAGGATTCTGATGAAAAGATGCTCATCAGAAGTCTTCAGTATTTCTAAACACTGAGGTGAGGTCATCTCATGAGAGTGAGGAAAAGGAAGTGAAGTTCGTGAGAAATTTGGGGAACAGAAAGAGTGTTGAGAGCAGGAGTCACATAACCAATGGCCAGGGGTGAGGACCCTTTGAAAGTTGAACATTATGGATTTATACGGAAACCAGTTTGTTCCATTGAGCTAATTTCATCAACAAGTTAGGAATTAAAGTGGGTCTGAGAGCCAGGATCATTCATAAAATTGATATTTGAGGAGGAAGGTTGAAAATGGAATAAAGACTATTTGAACATTATTTGGAGCTGCATTTTCTGGAGCATAAAGGCTCTTCAGATGTTTTCTTTGGTCTGTATCTTCCAGAGCACTGATGGTTTCAGGTCAGTAAAGAGTTCAAATATAGTCTGACTAAGATAGGAGAGGTGTCTCTGACTTTGTTAGATCTCCAAATAATGGATTACAGGTTGAGAAATCAGTCAGTGAGATAAAGCTATCACTGATTTGGGTTGTTTTATTGAGCAGGATGCAAGATTGATTTCTTTCCTGGGTTCTGTTCCAGGTGGATTCAAAGAATGAAGCCACGGAAAAAAGGTGGTAGTTAAAAAGTCCAGAAACTTTCCTGCAAGCAAATACTACCTGTAAAACCTTAATTCTAAATTCTAAGCCTAAAACTCTATCCTCTTGGCGCAGAGGGGCCACATAAGAAAGGTGTCCTCTAAGTTCCTAATCCTAAGACTCTGTCCCTTCTGGGGGGACAGAGGGTCCTCTAAAAAGGGTAACCACTCTTTCTTTGTCTTGAGGCATTAAATAGGCTAGAGACCCTCCTTTTCTACGTGGGGCCTTAGCCCTGTAATCAGCTCCCACAACCCCCATCTCTACAATTTTCCTTATTTTGTCATCTCATCTGTTTAGGTGAAAGTCACTTTTGATTTATCTTATGGTTTTCTCCCACTTGTGCCGGCTAGAGATATCCTATTGTATAGCTCTCCCAGCTGCTCAGGTCAGGGCTACTTTTGATCTATTGTCTGCCAAGAGCATCTCCTCCTGCTGAAAAAGTGCCCCCCACAATTTGAGTAATCCTATCCTATATAATCTACCTATACTAATAATATCTATATTATGCTAATTAGACCAGGTTGACCCGGCCATCTTCCAGACATCTGACTTCCTTCCAGACAAAGCCATGGTGGTAGGGGCCAAGGCAGAGGCAGTTAGGGACAATCAGGGGCAATCAGGCTGGCAGGGGAGGGCAGTTAGAGGCAATCAGGCTAGCAGGAGAGGGCAGTTAGGGGCAATCAGGTAGGCAGGCAGAGAGGTTAGGGGTGATCAGGCAGGCAGGGGGCAAAGTAGGGGCAATCAGGCCAAAGGGAGAGCAAAGTAGGGATGATCATGCTGGCAGGGGAGCAAGGTAGGGACAATTAGGCCAGCAGGCAGAGGGGTTAGGGGCGATTAGGCAGGCCGGCAGGTGAATGGTTAGGAGCCAGTTGTGAGAGATTGTGAGACATTGTGAGAGAAATGTCTGACAGCAATCAGACAACCTCCAAGAGACCCAAATTGGAGAGGGTGCAGGCCAGGCTGAAGAACCCCCCTCTATGCATGAATTTCATGCACCAGGCCTCTTTCTACTAGTAAAAATGTAGGTTATCACATTTGAAAAGATTTAAGCATTGCCACATTTTTTTTCTTAATTGAAGTAGAAAATTTTTTCTGTTCTATCCTGATTCCTTACACTAGTAAAATAATAACATTTAAAGAAGAAAATCAAGTGTTTAAATCCTATGAAAAATATGTTTGTAGTAGAATTGTACACCCCAATGTAGGATTGCAGAGTCCTCATTTTTGGGCTCTTTAATGTGAGGTTTCCTTATTTTACACAAAATGACTGAATATTTGACCCCTCTTTAAGCAGAATGCCTTCTTTCACTCTGATGAAAATTTGTCCTAAAGTATGTATGTATGTATTTAATGTATTGACTGGAATGGATCCTGGAACCCTTCAGTCTGAAGGCTGACAGTCTATCCACTGAGCCAAAGCAGTCAGGGCTGAACTTCTTTAGTGAAGTGTTTATCTTCGTCTAAACCAAGCCCTGTCCATTGTTCTTGTGCATCTAATTTAACTCCTCTTTGGAATACCAGTCATCCTCTTTTTCACACCCCTGAGAGGTGTCACTACCCTTCAGGGAGCACATAGTCTTACTGAGTCTGAAACTTCCTTTGTTCCACTTCCTGTAATCTTCCTTATGTTCCCTCCTTAATTCCAAATGTGTGAATGAAGCAAAACTGTCATTCTCTGGAACTTTTGAAATCTTGCTTCCTGGCAATGTTGTTAGTTTGGCTAAAATAAACCCATAAAAATTCTCTACAGGTTTGGATATTCTTAGTTGACAACACAATAAACATTTGATCCATTTCAGGCAACAGCTGTTCTTTCTAAAGAGAAGCAGCCTTGCCTGCAATGTAAATTCTAGGCCAGAATGTGAAAAGTCTGTGAAGGAGAATAAGTGGACCCATAATATGAACAGAAAATGAGAACTACAGAAAGAGAGAGACGAGAGAGAGGGGGGGGGGGGGTAGGGCACTGAGTTTTCCAGGTATGTTTCTATGTTGATTTGAACTATTTGTTCCTTCATGGAAAACCATCCTGAATACTCTGTTATTATATGTTAAAATCACATTTTTTGTAAAATGACAGATATAAGACACTGAAATATCATCTGTTTATTAAAATGTTTAGTTTCAAAGAAGATAATACAGCTTTTTGTTTTTAATTGTCAACAGATGACCTAACCAAGAATAAGAGAACTTTTCTAACACTGCCTTTATGAAATTGTCATTATTGGGCACTTTACATTTCAGATGCCAAAAGCAACAGTTTGTCTTCCATCATCCTGCATCTTTAATTGGAATGATTCTTAGACAGTCTTCATATGTGCTGTCACAGTTCCATGACTCCATAATAAACCACCAATAAAAGTTTTCAAATGATTACTTCATCTCTTTTAAGTGTCTGATTTTGTACTAGGATCTATTTGTCTTTCAATGGCAAAGGGATATGCTGGAATCACACCTAGTATAGTATTATATCCAATCCCAGCCAATTTAAAACATATTCTGTTGGCATGCCGGTGGTCACTTTCTGTAAAGAAAACTTGTCTCAATTATATTGTAGCCAGCAGCAAAATAAACAAAGAACTTGCCT